GCAATGTCTTGGTGGAGAAGCGATTTGGCATCACGGCAATATAATACACACAAACTCAGAGATGACTTAAGTGTTAATAAGTGATTATAGAGAAACTACGCTGCTGACACATCCATATCCACTTGTGATAGACAGAATTGTGTGGTGATCTCATAGAGGGACAATAATTGGCGAAAATAAACCCCGTAGCCAACAGAGATGATACACTGAATAAAAGCGGAAGGTTCCAGGTCAAACAAAACGCGTTTGGATAGACGGGGAAGGATTTAATGAGGCGGCTAAAATCTCCATCGGTCATTAAGCAGCGTCCTATCGACAGTAGAATACAGCCGTTAAGTAGGCTTCACAAATCCCAACGAGGTAGTATTGCTGATATGCATAATATGTTGAAGATACGTAGAAAATGCGCTCATGCTTACAGCAATTGGCCACAGAAAGCAGGATGCAACAGAAGTTCTAAAAATGATTTACGACTGCCGCTATTATTAACATATTGTACTAAATTTATTGGAAAGTAGATATTTTCGGGGGCCAATCGAGCAACCTCAACTACACACACTGTTGTTTTCTATGTTTGTAATCAGGCGAACACTTCCAGACAGATGGCTAAGTGAGCAAGATCAACTGACAATCAGATGAACTTGTGGAGCGTCCGGGGCTGATAGTGTTCACCAGAGTACAACGGCTGTGCGCCGAGGGAAACATTGACTCACGCCGCCGTGACTTTACAAAGATGAGATTCAAATCGCAGAATATATGAACAAACAGCTTACGGCAATGGGCCGTTTGCAGGAATCATCATTGATTTCTCGAGCACTTATCGCGAAATACAACTGCAAGTCATTACCATATAGCCGACTCCGTCTAACCTGACTTGCACACACTGGATGGATGCAGTTGGTTCGGCCACCTGGTCAGCTGTAGTCATGACACTGACTGGATAACCTGTGAAGCGTGCAAATTAGCGCATACCGGTGTTGGAAAGTCGGTAGAAATGTAAAGATAATGACCCAACCCCAGCTCGCCGCCAGGGGCGTGAAGTCAATCA